TATCTGCATCTACATACTATAGATCCGTGATGGCAAACCTATGGCATGTGCCACAGGTGGCACATGTAGCCATATCAGTGGGCACATGAGCTCAGCTCCGATGTGCATGAGTGCTGGCCAGCTGATTTTCTGGCCTTCTGGGCCCACCAGAAGTAGGGAAACAGGCTGTTTCTTGCCTCCGGAGGACCTCGGGAGGTGGTGGGGAAGGCCCATTTTTCTCTCTTCCCAACCTCCAGAGCCTTTCTAGGATTCTGGGAAGGGCAAAAAAGGCCTTTCCCACCCCTCCGGAGGCCCTCTGGAGGCCAGAAACATTTTTGGCCTCTGGAGGGCCTTGTGGGGGGGGGAGGCCGTTTTTGCCCTCCCCAGAATCCTAGAAAGGCTCTGGAGGCTGGGGAGAGCAAAAAATGGGCCTACTGTGCCATCACATGCCAGGAGCGGGGGGAGCGGGGGGTCGCACGCATGCTCAGGGGCATGGCACATAGAATTATGGGCATGGGCACATGCACGTGTGACACTCCACCCCACCCCCGCTCCTGGCATGCAATGGCAAAAAGGTTAGCCATCACTGCTATAGATGTACTTTCATGGACCACTGAAGGAGGAACTGGCTCACATGCTTTGCCCAAGAGTATGATAGGCAGGCCACAAAACAGGCTTTTAAGGGGCTGCCACAAAGAAGGGGGAGAATGGGGTGAAATGCTACTGGTTCGGACCGGTTCGGGAGGACCGGTAGCAGAGATTGAGGCTAGCTCGCCGTACCGGTAGCAATTGCTGGCTGGCCACGCCCCCGAACCGGGCAGCCCGCAGTCCTGCCATGCTTCCCTGCCTTCCATGCAGCCTTCCCGTGACCAGCTTGTGAAGGCAGGCAAGCGGAAGGCCACGTGGAAGGCAGGCAAGCTTCGCAGGGCTGCGGGGAAGGGAGCTAGCAGCTTACTCCCTTCCCAGTGTGCCTGCCTTCCACGCTGCCAAACTCATTGTTCAGAGTGTTAGCGATCTAAGGAAACATCTTCCAACTCTTCAAAATCGACTTTAAGAGCACTGAGAAGCCAACAGCAAAAGTGGAGGGAGGGACACACACACACACACACACACACACGCCCCTGTTGCCCTCCCCCCCCAGTACTTTTGCTGTCGGTTTAAAGTCAATCTTGAAGAGCTGGAAGGTATTTCCTTACATCGCCACCAAACTGATTGTTGGGAGCATCAGCGATCTAAGGATACGTCTTCTTACACCTTCTCCTCCCCATTCCCCCTCCCCTTGTTTTTCTATTTATGTGCTGGATTCTGCTAATTACACCTTCTCCTCCCCATTCCCCCCCTCGTTTTTCCATTTCTGTGCTGGATTCTGCTAATTACACTTCTCCTCCCCATTCACCCCCCTCATTTTTCCATTTCTGTGCCTGGATTCTGCTAATTACACCTTCTCCTCCCCATTCACCCCCCTCATTTTTCCATTTCTGTGCCTGGATTCTGCTAATTACACCTTCTCCTCCCCATTGCCCCCCCCTCATTTTTCCATTTCTGTGCCTGGATTCTGCTTCTGCAAGAGAAGGCTCCGATGTTTGCTTGAGTGATGGAGGGAAACTCAAAGCATTGGGGGCTTCAGAAGGGCAGAATGAGCTTCAAAATGTGCAGCTCCTGGCTCTAACAGTGAGTGACGTCAAGTTGGCCACACCCACCCGGTCATATGACCACCAAGCCACGCCCATCAAGCCACACCCACAGAACTGGTAGCAAACATTTTTTTACATTTCACCCCGGGGGGAATGTATTTTCCAAAGCAGCAGGAGGCAAAACAAGAAGGCTTGGATAGAAACTGAACAAAGAGAGAAGCAACCTAAAACTAAGGAGCAATTTCCTGACAGTGAGAACAGTCTCACAGTTGGGTGCTCCAACACTGGTTTTCAAAAAGAGACTGGACAGCCATTTTTTTGAAATGGTATAGGGTCCCCTCCAAGGTCCCTTCTAAGTATTATTCTGACACCTTTCCCAGGCCCTCCACTCAGATTTGGCATCCTCAGTTTTCCTGCCTGAGCAGGGAGTTGGACTAGAAAACCTCCAGTCCCTTTCAACTCTTATTCTGTTATTCCTAAACTAAATAGCTAAGATCCTCAATGGGACCCTATCTCTTTTGCTCCCTCTGGGGAGCCAGCTGGCCTCTTTATTCCCCCTCGTTCCTGAGGCAGCAGGTAGCACAACACGAGGCCATGGAGGCTTTATAGTGTTTCTGGGATGACAGGAGTGTGCTGCTGCTGCCGTTCCAGAGGTTGGGGGGCACCTGGGAAGCCAGGCACTCCCACAACCTGACCGGGCGGGCTGGCAAGGGCCGGCTGACAAAGGGTGATCATTCCTTCATTCATGATCCCTGGAGGACTGGGTCCTGGGGGTTGGGCTAGGCTGGCTGCCTTGCATGGCAGTGGCAGGGATCACTGTCGGGGGGTGCCTCCAGGCCTGGATGTGGCGGGCTGCCCTTGCCTGGGCGGCTCCAAAATTAAATGCAGAAAGCAGCATACCACAGAAGGGAGACCCGCTCCAGACCTGCTTATTCGGCCAAAGGCCCGCCTCATGGGCAACATGGCAAGGCCTGGCCAATTGGCCTTCTTTTGGGCCCAGCTCTCAGCTGCCACTCAGCCTCCCCTCCATCTCAGATCCCACATCCAACCCATGACAGGGCAACCTGCTGCTTCTGGACGGCAGGTAAGCAAACCTCAGGGGGAGAGCACTGCACTCGCACTTTCTCTTGAGCCTCCCTCCCGGAGCCAGGCCCAAAAGTTGGCCAAGCCAAACCGTGTCCCCCCTCACCCACAGCATTTGGATGAGTGCGGCAAGCCCCCTCCCCCGCCATTGGCTTTACCTTCTTTCTCTTTGCTAAACCGGGCAGGGACAGGGCCAGCAGGTGATGCATCCGGCCCGTGGGCCATGAGTTTGACACCCTTGGTCTAACACATTGATCTTAATTATGCTAATGAAGCAACATTTGAAAAAGGGTGCAGTTTCATGGATTTCCAGTGTGTGTTTGTATATGAGTGTCAAAAAAATCAAATGGCAACAACAACTATTCAACCAAAGTTCTGCACTTTACTTACACAGTTGTTGCACCATTCTGATACCACCACTACCACAATCCCAGCCACAGCACTCTTTACCATGTTCTGCTCACTATAATGAAGCCTCCCTGCCCATATGAAAAGTTTTATTGTTCTTAAAATAGCACGTACAAATGTTATTGTGGATTGTTTAAAAAAATCAGACTTTGTTTTACTATTATTAATCTTGTTGCACCACCTGTTGTTTGGAAGTAGTTAGAGCAATAGGTTTCCAAAGTAGTGAACAATTAAAAATTGGCAAGGTGAAATGTACAATTAAAAATAATACAGTATATATATACAGTATGTGTATGTGCAAATAGAACAACAGAAGAGCCCATAAACTCCCATATTCAACCTGAAACATCTTTTTAAAAATGAAAGACATATTTATATTTTAAAACAGTGAATGTTAGGGATTCAAAAGGAATCCAGCAAAATGGACAGCTTTAACCCATATCACAGCCTGATGCAGTCTATTTGTCAGCGTTCCAAATTAGGCTTTCTTCCAGCGCTGACATAACAAGTTGAAGCAGAAAGAGCGGAAGCTTGATTTATTGCTGAGATGAACTTTTACCTAGTTTTGTATATACAGATAGGGTTTCCTGGGAGACGAGGGTGGGGGCTGCATTCCTGTGAAAAGAACGTGCCGGGATGTAGAGATGGATCTGTATGATGGCCAATGGGACGTTGGGGCTGGAGAGCGGAAGAGGAGGGGGTTGGAAGGAGGGGCCAGTTTGGCTGCAATTTGAGTCAGAAATGTCGGATTCTGCTATGCTTAAAAATAAAATGTTTCATTAGACAGCTTGCGCTTGAGAATGAAGTTTATTCAAGATAGCACCGAAACCTGACAGACAGCCAAAACTCTCCTCCAAATCCAGGCTGGCTGAGGTTAAATCATCCCGTTCCCTCCCAGACATCTGGTCGGACAGACTATGGCTGAAGCCAAGCTCTTGGAGGAAAGCCTGCTTCAAGAAACGGGAGGAGCAGAAGCGGTCGTGATTCCAGCCAACTTGGAAAATACAAAGGTAAAAGATAAAGAAAAACCCCTAAGTGAATTGGGAAGGGCGAGCTGGGGATGGGAATGGCAGCGAAGCCCAGACAAGGCAGCACCTCCCCACCCCAGGATGAGAGACGAGGCAGAGGACTACCAACACCAAGGCTGGCCCTCCAGAGCTCAGCACAGAGAGGAGAGGGCAGAGAGGGAGGAACCACCCCAGTTCAGAGGGAAATTCGATGGTGACCCAGACAACCTCGCCCAATTCCTCGATTCAGCTGAGATATACATAGAGCGGTTCGGACACCTCTACCCTTTCCCCAGAGCCCTAGTGAATGCTATCTCGGAAGGGCTGGAGGGAGAAGCAAAGAGGTGGTCAGCATCACTCTACAAATACAGGGCCCCCCAGCTACAAAATGCGGATGGGTTCTTGCAACTATTGAGAGCCCGTTATGAGGAGGAGGAGGAGGACCCCTATGTGGAAGACGAGCTCAGAAACCTAATGCAGAGGGGGAAGCCTATCAGAGAGCATATCCGTGAATTCAGGAGAGTCATTGGGACACTGCCTCCCCTACCGGAGCGATTGCTGGTGTATTTTTTTAGAACAAGCCTAGATAAAAGAATTTCCCAAGTGACTGCCTATCGTGACATCCCAAACCGACTCGCTGAATGGTTCCGGGTAGCGATAAAAGTCGACAGAGGGCTGCGGGCGAGTGACACGTCAAAACCACCAGAGGGAAAGGAGAGAGGCCGACCAGACCAGGGGCCACTCAATAGATGAGAAACCCCAACATCACAGCCCTCCTACAGACCAACTGCCCCACGGAGCCCACTGAAATGCTACAGATGTGGGGGAAGCGGCCACATAGCAGCAAGATGTGGAACGCCTAGACCGGGACCCGATCCACCACCCAAAGCATGGCCGGAACGAGGGCCCAAGCGCATCACCCACGTACTGCAGGAAGCTCCCCAAATCCCTGAGTTTTTCGCTCATCTGACCGAAACCAGAGGAATCCCAGACGAGAGAGATCAGTTCCCCGAACCCTATGACACGGAAGACGAAGGCGAGGATGACCCGATGGTGAGTGGACCCGTCCACCCTTTTCTTTTCCCCATACGCCTAACAGCCCCCAAAACAGGGGCCCAAGAGACTTTCCAAGCCCTAATAGACTCGGGTAGCACACGGTGCCTAATCAACCTACCCACAGTTCTAAAATTGGGAATCCGAGCTAAACAGCTCAAACAACCAATTCGCTTCGAGCAAGTTGATGGGTCCCTAGTGGGAGGAACATATGCCACACATTTGACTGAACCCGTGAGACTAGAACTCGCAGATCACTGGGAGACGATCCGCTTCATAATAGCCCCCAAGATGACAGAACCAGTCATATTGGGACTCTCATGGCTCGACAAATGGGGCCCAATCATTTGGTGGCAAGAGGGAACCCGCAGGCTGAGAATAGCAAAGGGGCCCCAACCCCTGCCGCCCCGACCAGAAGAATTCCCTCCCACGCTGAAACCCCAAAGCAGCCCTCCACTACAGAAGAAAACACCACCAACACAAGGGCCCCTCCCAGAAGGTGCAGCAAAACAATTGGCAGCCGCACCCACCACCACTTGTAACGCAAACCAGATCCCAAGGGAGTACCAAGACCTTGCAGGGGTATTCAGCGAGGCCGAGTGTGACATTCTGCCCCCCCACCGCGAGACCGATTGTGCCATCGAGATTATCCCAGGAGCGAAACTACCCAAACCTAAAATGTATGCTATGACGCCCCGAGAAATGCAGGAAATGCGGGACTACATAGACAAAAACTTACAAAGGGGATTTATTGAGCCAGTGAAACCAAGGGTAGCGGCGCCGGTCATGTTTAAAGAGAAAAAGGACGGCTCCATGAGACTGGTGGTCGACTTTCGAAGTATCAATGCTGTTTGCGTACACAACTTGTACCCCCTCCCCCTCATGAAAGACATGTTAGCCCACCTAGCTAAAGGGAAGGTTTTCACCAAACTAGACCTTCGAGAAGCTTATTACCGAGTACGCATAAGGGCAGGAGATGAATGGAAAACAGCATTCAACTGCCCCCTGGGTAGTTTCCAGTTTAAAGTAATGCCTTTTGGATTGCAAGGAGCCCCGGCAGTGTTCATGCAGTTAATAAACGAAGTCTTACATGAACACCTTTACAAAGGGGTCCTCGTCTACCTGGACGATATTCTTATCTACACGGAGACCATAGACGAACATATACCCCTCGTCCGCCAAGTACTGGAAAAACTGCTACGGGCAAACCTATATGTCAAACTGCCAAAATGCGATTTCCACCAATCACGGCTAGACTACCTGGGCTACCGAGTATCAAATGAGGGGATAGAGATGGACCCAGCCAAGGTCCAATCAGTTCTACAATGGCAGCCCCCTCGCACCCGCAGACAACTGCAAAGTTTTCTAGGTTTTGCGAATTTCTACAGACAATTCATCCCCTCGTTTGCGGAAATTGCCAAACCTTTGACAGACCTCCTAAAGACAGGAAGCCCAGCGATGAAACCTCGCCCGGGACAACCCCTACAGTGGGACCTGACCTGCCAACAGGCATTTGAGACGCTAAAAGGACTGTTCGCGAAAGAACCTGTCTTAAAACACCCGGATCCAGAACAGCCTTTTGTCATCCAAGCAGACGCAAGTGATGTGGCAGTAGGAGCCGTGTTACTCCAAAAGAACAACCAAGGGGATCTACAACCCTGCGCCTACACCTCCCGCAAACTCACCGATACGGAGAGGCGATGGGCGGCGTGGGAGAAGGAAGCGTTTGCAGTAAGGTGGGCCTTGTTGACCTGGCGGCACCTTCTAGAGGGAGGCCAGAAACCATTTGAAGTCTGGACTGATCATAAAAACCTAGAGGCCCTAAAAACCCCACGAAAACTGTCGCCCAGGCAAGTGCGGTGGGCACAATACTTCAATCGTTTCAATTTCGAGCTTAAGCACATCCCAGGTGGGAGAAATTTCCTGGCTGATGCCCTCTCCCGGATGCCCCAATACAACAGTGAGCGGGAGCAGGTAGTGAATGCCATCATCCCCTCCACCCAAGCTGCGGCCCAAGTGATCACCAGACGGCAACGACGTGACCAGCAAGGCCAACTTGCAAGTGACTTAACTGCAAAATTAAAAAATGAAACACTGACAGACCCCTGGTATCGGGACAATCAACATCTCTTGACAAAAAGAGATGAACTAGCACGGAGGGGGACAAAGCTCTATGTCCCACAGAGTTTACGCATCCTGATTCTCCAGAGGAGCCATGATGTTAAACCAGCAGGACACTTCGGGTTCCTAAAGACTCTGCACCTAGTACGGAGGCAGTTCTGGTGGCCACATATGAGAAAGGACGTAGACAGTTATGTAAAAAGCTGCACCATTTGTGCCACGATGAAGACAAGGCCAGGGTGCCCGCCTGGATTGTTGCAACCAGTAGCTGAGCCAACAAGACCATGGGAGGAGATCGCAATGGACTTTATAGTAGACCTACCGAGGAGCAGTGGAAATACAGTGATCTGGACTGTAATAGACTTATTCTCCAAACAGGCACACTTCATTCCTTGTAGTGGACTGCCTTCAGCCCGTCAGTTATCCAAACTGTTCCTGAAACACATTTACCGCCTACATGGAGTCCCCAGGAGAATCATTTCCGACAGAGGGGTCCAGTTCACAGCAAAGTTCTGGAGGGAGTTTCTACGGTCCATAGGTTCATCCCAAGGGCTCAGCTCAGCATTTCACCCGAGCACCAATGGGGGGGCAGAAAGACTGAACGCTATGATAGAACAGTATTTAAGATGCTACGTCGACTACCAGCAGTCCAATTGGGCAGACCTCCTATCTTTTGCGGAGGTTGCATATAATAATGCTGTCCACAGCAGCACGGGGCTAACCCCGTTCAAAATAGTGAGTGGCATGGATTTTGTTCCCATGCCAGAATACCCGAGGGAGCCCCCTTCCTCAGTCAGTTTGACCGACTGGATGGCAATGTTGAGACAAACGTGGGAAAATGTTAAGAGGGCGCTGGCAAAGGTGGCTCAATCTTATAAGGACCAAGCAGACAAGCACCGAACTCCCCAAAGACCATTTCAGCTAGGAGAGAAAGTTTACCTCTCCACCAAGTACTTGAGACTTAGACTCCCGAGCAGGAAATTGGGCCCAAAATTTATAGGACCATTTCCTATAATAAAATTAATCAACCCCGTTACAGTGCAATTGCAGTTGCCACGGCTTTTGGGGAAAATTCACCCCGTTTTTCACAGTAGCCTTCTAAAACCTGTAGTGGGGTCTACTTTAAGGCCAACGCCACGTGAACCTCCTGGGCCCCTGGTTGTTGGGGGCCAAACGCACTACGAAGTGCAGCGGATTCTTGATTCAAGATGGCACAGGGGGCGCCTTCAGTACTTAATTAAATGGAAGGGTTACCCATTGTCAGAGGCTTCCTGGGTGAAGAGCGCAAACATCCAAGCTGATCGCCTTATAGCAAAATTCCATGCAGACCACCCGGGAAAGCCGGGAGGGGGGGTGCACAGCCAGGGAGGGGCTGATGAGACTAATCTTGTTGTGTTTTCCCTATGGGATAGGTGATGTTGCAGAAGTGAAGGGAGAGGGGCCGGATGTCAGCGTTCCAAATTAGGCTTTCTTCCAGCGCTGACATAACAAGTTGAAGCAGAAAGAGCGGAAGCTTGATTTATTGCTGAGATGAACTTTTACCTAGTTTTGTATATACAGATAGGGTTTCCTGGGAGACGAGGGTGGGGGCTGCATTCCTGTGAAAAGAACGTGCCGGGATGTAGAGATGGATCTGTATGATGGCCAATGGGACGTTGGGGCTGGAGAGCGGAAGAGGAGGGGGTTGGAAGGAGGGGCCAGTTTGGCTGCAATTTGAGTCAGAAATGTCGGATTCTGCTATGCTTAAAAATAAAATGTTTCATTAGACAGCTTGCGCTTGAGAATGAAGTTTATTCAAGATAGCACCGAAACCTGACACTATTAGCACTAGAATCTTTCTCCATTCAAAACTCTCTCTCTCTCTCTCTCTCTCTCTCTCTCTCTCTCTCTCTCTCTCTCTCTCTCTCTCTCTCTCTCACACACACACACACACACACACACACACACACAGATGCACACTTGTTTGTCAATGATGCAGGGATGTCTGAGTGGTTAAGAATAAGATTCTAGCTGCAGCAGTAAGTTAGAAATTCTATCCATTTATAATGTTTGATGTGCATGTGAGTCATGTAAAAAACAGGTGGAAGTTCAATCGTCTTGTTGCTGCCATCATATTGAATCTTTTGACAATAGTCTGCAAACATCCCTGCAAATGATTAATCCAAAATGTTGCATATAAAAAAGTAAATGCATGTGTTTAAGATAGCTGATCTCATAAAAATTTAAATAAAAAGGAACAGAGAAATGTTTTTTTTTAAAAAGACATTTCTTCAGAGAATTAGAGATGTAGAGTTTTTTTCATAAAAATTCAGTATATTAATAACAGCTGCACTCCGTGTTTAATCAATTCCTTTCATTAATTAGATTAAGTTAAACAAAATTAAATATAATAAGTGTCTCTGCTTTATACATTTAATTTATAAAAATTTATAAACATTTCTATATTAAATATAATCTCTGCTGCAAATTAAAATAGGTATTTCTTTAAAAAAATATCATACTGATAGATTGTTCTACTAATGTGGTGGATGGTTCTGTGTTATTTTTAATTTATGCATTCCTAGTGATTGATGAAACCTTGTGAAATCATTTTCTGAACTTTCCATCTGCTTAAGCCCCCTTCATGAAAGAAAATAGGCAGATAGTACAAAACTAAAGAGACAAAGAAATACTGTAGAAGTATCTGTATTCTGTCAAAGCAATTGTTTCATACCAGATTCAGCAAAAAATTTAGATCCTGAAAATTGCCCAGAAAGAAAAGTTTAGATTGTGACCTACTTCATCAATCATGTTATTCTGACCAAAATTGGAATTGCTTTTAAATGAGGACATCTGATTGTAAATCTGTTTTGACAAAAGCTGATAGCAACAACTTAATGGCTCAGTGATCCCATTAATTCTAAGCAGCTGTATGTCTTCTTATGTCATTGTTACTGAACTCTGTCAAGTGTGGTCAGTCCTATCTGTAGGGTACAGCAAGGAGGGGGTCCGAATGATGAAAAGAACATTGTAGCACTACATCTGGTCCTTTTTTATCTATGCACTACAACATTGTATAGACCCCTAAAAGGTCAGAGTTTGTTCTGCATTGTCATGACATTGTTATTTCATTCTAATACAGCAGTGAAGATCCTGAAGACACAGCTGACTATAGCCTTTTATGTAATGCTGAAATAGAACTTTCAGTAGCATGGCTATTGGTAAAAAATGCTGAGAAGAATGTCCTCATTCCACAGTAACCAGTGATACATAGTGGTGAAAGGAAGTTTCCTAATGTGCCTTTAATTCATATGCTTTGAGGGAAAGGAGTGAAGGAGATGAGCTCCTCCAGTGGTCCACCATTGTCCAGGTACCAGAAGTAATATTGCTGATCATTTTTCCTATAACCATCTCTCACAGTTATGGATACTCAGAATGGACCACAAAAACCAGAAATTTTGGAACAAAGCCAGGAGTAAGGATTAAATGGCAAATCAGCATTCCTGAAACAACTGAAAAATTAGGGCCTAAAATTCAAACAGCTGATAGGAACAAAATGCAGGAACATTGTTGAAGAAGCTAATAAATAGTTTTTCTACAGTATAAAATGTGAAAGCTTTTAAATTCTCAGATGTCTTTCATTTGACAAAATTAAAAAACAAAAGTGTGTGTGCAATTGAGGGAATGTTGATTTCAAGTCATAAACATTAATCCTTTCAAAATTACCTTATATCTGAACAATATCTGGCCAATAGAGTCTCTTTTGTCAAAAGTAGATTCCAGTTATTAAAGCAAAGTAAAGCAAAAGAGAGGACTTTGGGTAAATAAAGACTGAATCTGACCAGAATCAAACCATAATAGTTAAAATACCTGCAAATGCTTATAAAGGTTTACTAATTCAAGGGGGCAGTGCACTTCTATAACAAAGGGAAGAGATGCTCCAGCCCAATACAATAGCCTTCTGAGATTTCTTGTTGGAAATGTCCTTGAGAGCTGCAGTGTTGGAGATGCTCTCATTCAGGTCATCTCGTGTATGGAAGAGTCAAGGCTATTTGGCATAATTGCATTAATATTCTATAATTCTATTACTATTATCTATAAACAGTTCCACCTAATTCCACACACCAAAGTAGGATTTACTATTCTTGCCTGGCATTCCTTAAACAATGCCATATAGAAAACTAATTCTGAAACTCAGTGAAATTTTAAAAGGAGATAAAGGTTTGATATGGGATGGAAATCCATTGTTCATTAAGAAAAGGTAGAATTTATAAGACTTTGGATATCTAGACAGTGATTCCACCTTCTGTTTGTTTCATGATGCTGTTTCACATGTCACAATTTCCCCCCCTCTGTTGTATGTGTGGTGTAGTTCTATTAATGTATATATTCCCATACTAAACTCCAATTTCTTGTGAGACTTTTGCAATATTGCATATTTTGCAATAGTAAAGCAGAATTATTGCAACACTTTCATTCTCAGATATTTCCTTTACAACACAGAAACCAAAAAAAGCTTTGAACTTATTTAGAAAGACTGGTCATCCTATTGCCACAGCAAGTTTCAGGGGAGCCTCCTGTAGAACATTATGATATGGAATGCTCTGTGTATTCCCTCAGAAGAGTCTGACTGATTTTCAGCTTGAAGCCATGTAACAGGGGAGTAATACAAGGATGCAACATCCCATGAAGTGGATTCTCAATATCAATTCAAAGCAAGTTACCAAACAGAAAAGATATTCAAAATGGGAGGTGAAATCTGAACTTGAAAGCAAAAAGGGTTCCAATATTATGCTATAAAAAGAATGTTTAAATAAGAACTGTGTCCTTAAGAATCAATAACTAACCAAATGGCTTGCATTAGGTCACAGATTTTTAATATCAGAACATTCTACTGAGATCATGGTATGAGATCACATGATAGAAGTTAAACACATCTAATGTAATCTGTTCTTATTTATTGTTTAGAATTTATTATTCCAAATAGCTCCCCAACTACTTCCTTCCAATGACATTCAGAAATAGATTAATTCTTGTAAGGAATTGATGGAAAGGGAGGGGGGAACCCATGTACCTCCATCTTGAACCCTTAGAGAAATGACATCCTTATTGAACCCCTGCAAAGAACAATAGAGTATTTCCAGCTGCCCATTGTATATGCTTATGTCCCAGCTGAAATCTAATGGTTGAGTTAGACTGGGCTTATGTTGAGATTTTTCCACTGGTCTTTTTCTTCTTTTATTACAACAGGGATGTCAAATTTGCAGCCCGCGGGCTGGATGCGTCACGCACTGGCCACGCCCACCCCCAGTTTAGCAAAGGGGAAAAAGTCATGATACGACATATGATGACAACATGATGATGTGCGTTTGACACCCCTGATGTAGAAGCTCAGAGAGAATCTTCACCTTAAGATGAAGAACATTGATTCTGAGATATTAGGAGAGATCCTAATATGTCCTGAAGTTCAGATCAGAAGATAGTCTCTTGATCCTTGACTGTCTTCATCAATCTAACAATTCTTTATTTAAGAAGAGTATATTAGATTGGGCTCACACATCGCAATAAGCATTATATCATGTTTGTTTAGTTTTGATTAAGCATATGTGAATTATTGGGGTTTGAGCAATAGCAATAGCTTCACAGTGCTTTACAGCCCTCTCTTTATGGAGTCAGTATATTGCCCCCAACAATTTGGATCCTCATTTTACCAACCTCAGAAGGATGAAGGCTGAGTCAATCTTGAGCCAGTAAGAATCGATCTGCTGAACTTCTGGCAGCCAGCAATCAGCGAAGTACTGCATTCTAATCACTGCAGCATCCTGGCCTTTTGTTTTAATTTCTAAAGCATGATGCCAACATCTCATAAGCCATAAATTAGTTTACATGTTGTTTATTGTCTATCCATACATCTGGTAACCCTAATCACCATGTTTGTTTTAGACAGGAGAACAATCACTGCAAAGAAATAGACAAGCCAATTTCTTAAAAATACTGCCAGCCTACATTACTCAATTTCCAGTCAAAGCTCAAATATATTATTTAGTTACCGAACAATTTTTCAGAAGGACATTATTGCAAAGATGCCCTCCATGTTTTAACTGTATTATGCACCTTTTGTCATCTCTTTAATTTTAGCCAGAATTAAACATCTACTTCTAAAGTTAAAATATAGTTAAGCAATTTCTCTTACTCTAATGTTTATTTGCATGCTTTAAAGATGTAGAGACAGATTCTAAATTAGAGGTTAAATCAGAGTTGTTCTGGAATCCCAGAATTGCAGAAATAAAACTTTGCAAAAATTAAATTTAAATGTCAAAGACGAATCTTTTAGGGAAATGTTGAACTTCAAATGAGGCAAATTGTAATCCACAGGACTACTCAGGAAGCGTTAATTTGAGCAATCATAGCAGCTTTATCTTTTGCAGATCTCATGCAATAGCTTCAGAATTTGTTTCAGATTCTTTCCTCACTTGAATGCATGTTTGCTTTGCACAAATCTTGAACAATTCAAAAAGAAGTGCTTCATAATATGTTCCTGCACATTGAAAGTATCGGATGCATTGTGCAGATCGAATTTCTTATTAATGGAGATTCTAGTTTAGGAATGTTTTTTATTGTGTATTAATATGCTGGTAATTCAAAGTATAGTGAATAAGGGGCCATCAGTAATACAGAAACTGTCTGGTAATATCTGTGCCAAGGTAAAATCCATCAGCATCAAAGATACTCTTTTTTTTTTAATTGAAAAAGTTTTTCAAATACAGATTTTTTCCCCCTTTCCCCCCCCTCCTTCCTAACCCCCCCTCACCCTCCCCTCCCCTCTTGGCTTCTCCAAAATAAAATCCAAATTGATATCACATTGTATAATACTTTACCATCCTTTTACACCACCCCCCATATGCTAACCATTTCTTTCTAACATTATTATTATATCCCCCCTATACTATACATTTCAAAGCAACATTCAGCTATAAAATTATATAATAAATCCTAATTTGGCATTTATACAACTCATAATCTACCCATTTCCTCCACCCCCATAACATCCCTTTTCCTAAACTAAACAATCAGTAGCCTAACCTATTTCCACCCACTTTCCTACAGGTCTACCATACATAATATTTTTAATATCTTTGTTCTTCTGCCCACACCACTAAAAGATATTTCCATATATAAATAAAATCCTCAAATGACTTTAAGTTTGTAATCCATATAGTATCTTCTGTAATGTCTTTCAACTGGATTGTTAATTCCATCACCCATGTTAGGGTAACATCAAGTTCTGCTTCCAACAGTATATTCAGTATCTTCAATTACCATCTGCCCTCATCATTAATAAGTGTTTTCATATATAAAAAACCACCCGAATGACTTTATATTTATATTCCATATAGTATCTTCTGTAGTGTCTTTTGTCTAGATTATTAATTCCAACCACCACGTTAGGGTAACATCCAGATCTTCTGCATGCCCCAATTCCCTAGTTCTCTTGCCTTATAACTCAACATATACGTAGTCCAATTTTTCAAAGAGTCCAAAATAGAAAGTCGCAGTCCGCTCAATTAAAGGCCATCTTCCACATCCCAAGAACACCAGCACTGCAGAGATCTGTTATTCTTCTCAAAATAGTATAAGTCTGTAATTTGCCTCAGTTATATTTCATGTATCAGCCTTCTATAAATCCCGCTTATTATATTTAATCGTCTCTTATGTAACTGGCATTAGTCTGTTGGCTAAAAAAAAAAAAGAAAAAAAGTTTTTTATTTAGTTTAAATTTTTTTAGTTTTGTAGAACCTGCTTCTTCTTTTCTTAACTTGTTGTGGTTTAGATCTCCATCCTGATTGCCTTTCTAGGACTTGTATATCAGCTGATTGAATTACATGCTGGTCTGTAACTTGATAAGACATCAAATTGGAATCCAAAGCCGCCTCTCTTATATTTATAGGTAATCCAGCTATAGCCTCTGAAGGAGAATCCAAAAGCGGCTCATCCAAAAAGGCCTCTGTAACTTGTTGTTTTTCCATTATCTCCATCTCCATCTGCTTAGCCTGAGTTTCAATCTCTTGTTCATTTTGCTTTTCTTTATCCCCCTCCTGTGTTCCTGACACTGATGACATACGTGGAGATGTTGGATCCATTTTAAAAACCTTGTAGTAAAATTCTTCCGCTTTTTCAACAGTATTTAGTTGATATCTTTCTCCTTGATATCTCAATATTATACCAACTGGAGCATCCCACCTAAATGGGATGTTTTGTTTCTTTAACTCAGTCACCAAAAATCCAAAGTCCTTTCTATCTTTTAACATCTTGGACTGCAGCTCTTTGTATATCCAAATCTTCCTTCCATTCATTTCTAAAGTGGAATTAAAAGACTTTTGCACAATATCATTTCTTATTCCTTTATCAGTAAAGTAAATCACCACATCTCTAGGCAACTGCCTTTGCTTTGCCAGCCAAGAATTTACTCTGTAGGCCT